TGGAAAAATACCACAAATGGGGACATGAAAATCCATCTAGTGACAGAACCATTTGTTTTCTTCACTTCAAGACGATTGAGATAATCAGAATAACAATCAACGAAGGCGTCTTCAATGAAGATGTTAGGCGCGGATGATTGTGTGTCCTCCCTCCAAAGGGAGAGAGTATTGTCCTTCAGAGTTCGTAACTCTTCTTTTCTATATTAAAAATGATGGGAGGAATCAGGATGATGTACAGATATCATAAAATAGGCATTAGTGATTGGTGTTATAAGGAGAAAATCACTTACCTCGTGATTCTCGGATTCCAAGCGTAGCACACCACCAAGTCCTCCCATTTATTAGGATCCAGTACGAAACATAAGGGCAGAGCATTCTTTGTCTTCTTCTTAGGAGCATTTAGGGTATCTATCTTTGTCCCTGCAGTGAATGGGGAAGTGACAAGAGTAGATGGCCTAATCTCCCTCTGTGGCCTCTTACGTGGTTGGGCCTCGTCCTCTGCTTCCTTTCCTTTCTTGCGCTTGTATGTCCTCGCGCATGCATTGCCAACCTTAGGCTTGTCAGCCTTAGCAACTTCAGCATCTTGATCATTGGGGCTAGGTACAAGTGTATCATTAGCTACAGTAGCATCTTGATCAGCATCTTGCTCAGCATCTCTCGTCTCTTTGCCTGCAATACAGGAAATTGTGGCATTCTTATTAATATTTGTAAACCTATTATCAATTTTTTTTGTAAAATATTTATTAACACGGTTTCTCGAATCATTAATATTTTTAAAACTATTATCAATATTATCTTACACGATTATTAACTGCTAATACCAATTCATTAATATATTTAAACCTATTAGCAATAGTTTTATGACATCCTTAGTAATTATCTCGACATTATTTTTTAATAAGGAAACTAACCAGGGTTATCAACCGATGTGCAAATCTTTTCCACAGTAGCATCTTGCTCAGCATCTATCGTCTCTTTGCCTGCAATAAAGGAAATTGTGGCATTCTTATTAATATTTGTAAACCTATTATCAATGTTTTTTTTTTGTAAAATGATTATTAGTACGGTTTCTGGGATCATTAATATTTTTAAAACTATTATCAAGATTTTCATACACGATTATTAACTGCGAATACCAAATCATTAATATTTTTAAACCTATTAGCAATAGTTTTATGACAGTCTTAATAATTATCGCGACATTATTTTTTAATAAGGAAACTAACCAGGGTTATCAACCGATGTGCAAATCTTTTCCACAGTAGCATCTTGCTCAGCATCTATCGTCTCTTTGCCTGCAATACAGGAAATTGTGGCATTCTTATTAATATTTGTAAACCTATTATCAATTTTTTTTGTAAAATGATTATTAACACGGGTTCTCGAATCATTAATATTTTTAAAACTATTATCAATGTTTTCATACACTATTATTAACTGCGAATACCAAATCATTAATATTTTTAAACCTATTATGAATATGTTTTATGACATTCTTACTCCTTATCTTGACGTTATGCTATATACAAAATGTTAACAACGACTGTAAATTGATTAATAATATAAAACAAGGATGGCAAATATAATTATCGTGTGAAAATATTCACATAAAGTTCTAAAGAATTAATGAATTAGGAATCCTAGTTAATAATTGTCATGAAATTGGTATGAAACTAACCGGGGGTATCAACCGATGTGCAAATCTCTTCAAGACCTTTGGCAGGTGGGGATGCAATTTTCGAACCAGATCCATCCAACGAAAACTCAGCAACAGTCTCCTCCCGAGAGGCCGAGCCGTTTACATCTTCATCATCAAATGAGGTGACGTCACGACTGTTTAACTCTGAATCGCAAACACCAACGAGTCTTTTGAAGAAGGTCACCTGACCGCGAAGCGTTGCAAGGAAGCTTAAAGCCTCCTTCCGCATATACAAAAGCTTCATTTCGAAGACAACCAAATCGAAATTTTAGTTAATAATAAGGTCGAAAAATCTTGATAATGTAAACAATAACATTAATTATTATAAAAATTAAGGGGCTAACCTCATTCGTGTCCATGTGGTCGGTCCTCAAGGACATAAGTTCGAACAACGACTTTGGCTTAATGTTCTGTTCAGATTCTCCCCCATCATAATTCTCTGGTTGCACCCTTTTCGAACAGACCTCTCTAACAATGCTCACAGAATCAACATGCTTAGCTCTAGATTTTCCAATCTCCTCCACCAGTTTCTTCTTATTGGCCTTAGACCCTGGGAAATCCAATATAGGGACAGCCCTCAGATCATTTGAAGTACTAAGGACTGCTTCCTTGCGCCCTGACACTCGTTTCTCATTCCATAACGTACAGCTTGGTATAATGGTAGAAACTGTTCCAGTTGTGTTTGGCACACCGGTCCGGTCCATGAAAGCACATATAAGAAAGTGCACATCGCCCTCCACATATTTTCTATCTGAATTCCCAAGAATAGCCCGTCTCACCCGGCTCAGCATATGACCACACCAATTGAAGTTTCTAATCTCTTCAGATGCTCTCCCCCTCATGAATCCAAGGTACTTATGCATCACATTCATACTGCCATTTGGGTCCAGAACATATCCAATGCTCAATAGAATGCACATCTGCACCCAAGATTCATCATCGGTGGTGTTCCTCATGTCATTCTTCAACTGCATTAGGTCAATCATATTTGGGCCGACTGTGGATATGCCAAGAGCCAACGCCCATTCCTTTGTATTGCGCTGGTCGAAGATGTCAAGATCAACAATATTGGGACCCTTGGGCAAGCCATACACGCGTTCGACGTCATCCTCAGTAAGATACAAACGTACCCCTCCAGGCATCTGGAAAGACATAGACTGACCTACAAAATGTTACAAGGACAGGTGCTCACAATTAATAATGAAACAAATTTTATGGATAATGACTACGGATAAAGTTGAAAACACAACAGGAAATAAATTCAATTAAAGATGCTAGTTGTGTGTTCACCCACCATCAAAATTAACATTTACCAAGCGCAAATAATCCTGGTCAATACTACGCATCTGCAAGTTAAGAACGAAGCCGAACCCATAACTTCGAAGTATAGCCGCACGACTTGGGCTAATATTCTTAACGATTTTGCGGACCTGAGACACACTGCACCTGATTGGTAAGCGATTGTCATCAGCTATGGGTGCATCTGCCTTTTTCTTCATAGGCTTACTCAACGGTGCAGACTTACGCGAAGTATTCTTCGTACGTGCCATATTATATTGTGGACCACTGTAAAAAATTATTAAGAAAGTCCACGAAATGATTAATAACCCATTTCTTAATAACGATCAATACAAAAGAAAATGTTAATAATGTACATGAGGTAGTAGTGTTGATAATGGTGTTCACTAAAACAACATAACACGACAAGAATTGATTATGGTGTTCGCAAAATTATCACGTTGGCAAAGAACATATCCATTAATAATAAAAAGAAAAAGGTTGAGAGCGAGAACATATTGATTAACAATGTTAACCAAAACAGCTTGTAAACGCCCACCGAATGATTAATAATAGATATAAGAAAGGTTCATAACGAGCAGAAATTGATTAACAATGGACACAAAAAAATTAAAAATATTTCCCAAATTCGAAATGAAGTTGTCGTGCACAGAATGAACACACAACACATTGACTTGCATGACAAATTGATTAAGAATATAGAACAAAAAAGTTGAAAACGAGCACGTATTAATTAATAATATAAGACACAACACGTTTTCCATATGTCCACAGAATGATTAATAATAGATTTTTTAATAACGATCAATACAAAAGAAAATGTTAATAACGAACATGAGGTAGTAGTGTTGATAACGACCAATACTAAAAAAAACATAACACGACAAGAATTGATTATGGTGTTCACAAAATTATCACGTTGGCAAAGAACATTACTAAAAAAAAAATTACCAATGCAATTAAATAATTTACATAACAGCACAGATTAATTAATAATAAAAAGCAAAAGATTGAGAGCGAGAACATATTGATTAACAATGTTGACCAAAACAGCTTGTAAACGCCCACCGAATGATTAATAATAGATATAAGAAAGGTTCATAACGAGCAGAAATTGATTAACAATGGACACAAAAAAATTAAAAATATTGACTAACAATGAACACACAACACATTGACTTGCATGACAAATTGATTAATAATATAGAACAAAAAAGTTGAAAACAAACACGTATTAATTAATAATACAAACACAACACGTTTTCCATACATCCAAAACAAGCTTGATGTAACATGCAACATGCAACGCCAAAACAAGCTTGATGCATGATGATGCTGCCCTTCACCGCAATCACGAGGGCATGCTCTCCTTCACCGCAATCACGAGTGAAAACCCTAATTCCATGGGATCTTGAAAACCCTTATCCCATGCAACATGCAACGCCAAAAACCCTCAAAAAAGCGGCCAAAAAAATCGGACCGATAAAATACCATAACACGCGGCCGCCGACGATAGATTGAGAAATCGAACAGCAGGCAGGAGAACTCGACCGGACGAGAGAAGTTATGGGTTCGGCAGGAGAAGTCGACCGCACGAGCTCGGACTATGCGACGGACTCGCCGTTGACGGAGAAGCAGGGACGACGGGAACTCGACGGGCTCGTGCTTCGGGAACTCGACGGCCTCGTGCTTCAACGGCGACAGACTCGCCGTTGACGGAGAAGTAGGGACGACGAGAAAAATTGGCAGAGACGGACACGCTTAGGGTTTTTGAAAATAATAAACCGTCCGCTCTTAGGGTTTTTTAAAATAATAGACATGTTTTAATTTAATTATATTCTCCTTAATACCCCTAACAACTTTTTAACTAATAACTCCTACTAACTACCTTATCTTGAATTAACCAATCACAAGGCTTTAAGTTCTTCCTTAAAAAAGAGGCCTTAAGGACCAGAACTTAGGCCGAAATGTTCACGATTAGGCTTGCTTCCACTATGATGATTCATAGTTTTTTCATTCTATTCAACGCATTGTTCTTGCTCAATTTCTGCAATTTTAGAAAATGAATTAGAAATCCAATAAAATCAATATTACAAGTACATATGGCAAAGTTTCAATACCTGAAACTCAGGACTGTAGAAAACATGTTTCACACACCATTCCCAATCTTCTTGGTTACCTACTGCATCGGGCTTATTTTCCACAGCATCTTCTTCAGATCCACATGGCTTTGCATATTCACGATACAAAACAGACCTCCATTTGTTCCAACGATCCCTCATATGAATTAAAGTATGATACTTATAGTCTATCATATTGGGATTATGGAAATACTCCTACAATCATTGTTATCATAAGCATTAGCTATCTTTAAACACTCTATAAGATTGTACGAATAACTTGGAAGTCAAGAATGTCAAGACAGAATTGCATGTTGTTCCTTACCGTAACTGCAGCCCACATATGCTCAAGTTCTGCCCGACTCTTCGACTTCCATTTTCTTGATCTGAATGAACAAATCTGGGGATTCCGAACAACTAATCCAATAAAGCTTGACCAAGTTGCTCTATTTGGCCCAACACCACGATTGTTGTAGAAGGCGATAGGCAGCTTCTCACCACGCTTAAGTCTGGCAACAGCCTTACAAATGCTTATTCCTCGTACATTTTTCTTTCTAGCTGCAACAAAAACCAGCAGCAACAAAATCAATTAATTAATTGGCAGATTGGCAGATTCAATGCAACAACATTTGTTATCTGAAGTTGCATGTGCTAAATAAAAAACTTGCCTATGTTAGTGAATTCTTCATTAGCAGCCACATGTTCATCTTCTATAACAGGTTCCACCTCTGCATCTTCCGTAGCTGGTTCTTCTTGAAGTAAGGGCATATTTCTCTCAAATGTGGGTTCTCTTGTCCTTTGTGGCATGTTATCAGTTACACCAGAGGGTTCTCCTCCCCTTTGTGGCATGCCATCATTTGCAATAGTGGGTATGTTTGCCCTTCTAGGAGCTGCAAAATAGAGCCAAAAGTTAGTAGTTTCAGCAAATAGAACAATGTGAAATTAATTATACAAGGTACCTACTAGGTGTTGCTTGTGCCATGGGATGAGATTTGGAAGGCACATCTGACGAAGATGTTAAAGTGGAGAAAGATGTTGGTCGATTTGGAACTCTCCTCCCAAGTGAGCCAGGGGCAACATATTTTGCTGGAGTTTTTTTGGAAGCTTTTTCATTGTCACGAGATTGAGAAGTCTTTTGAAGGTTCTGACCACTCTTCACCTTAAGATTCTGAGTACGGTTCACCTTGAGATTCTGACCAGCTTTCATCTTCTACAACAAAAGAACAAGAACGTAATTATGTACTGAACCAGGATAACGTGAAATCAATAAACAGAGATCTAATGTCCTCAAAATATAACAAATATAAGAACCCAGTCCAAATTGGAATGGATACTCTGTCGATTACCAGTCAATTACAAATGGTGCTAAAATTACTTTGTTTCAATTGCATGCGTAAGGGTTAAAGGGTTCACAGGAGAGAAAGGGGATAAATGTATTTCATGGATTTCTTGTCCAGCTCAAATAAAGAGAGATTAGAATGGGAACATACCTCAGCTGCAAGCCTAGAGAAATCTTCAGGGCATGCAAGGAGAAGAAACTCGACTGAAATAATGAGCTTCGAATTGGAGAGATTGGAGAGAAAGAGGATGAGGAGATTGATATAGTTGTAGTAGACAACAAACAGATGGGAACGTAGATATGCAAACAAATAGAGGTTTCTTTCTGATTGGGAACGCAGAGAGTGGGAAAGAAAACCTAAAACCTTGTTGTTCTTCCTTTTTATCTGCTAAAAAAATCACGCGGGAGTTGGGAGCCAAAATTGCAAAAGTGGAGCCTAAAATTTTGGGTTTGGAGCCTAAAGTTTCGGTGGAGCAACTTTCCGATGGAGCCAAAAAATTTGCGTTTGGATTTTGGAGCCTAAAACGCGGGAGGAAGTTTGGCAGGAGACAATTTTCAGGAGGGATGAAGATTTGCATCGGGGGAGAGATAATTTTCAGGCGGAGGAAGTTTTGCGGCGCGGGAGGAAATTTTAGGCAAATTTTGCGGGAGGGAATTGTCATGTGCGGGTTTATGAAGTTCCAATTTCGTGTCCAATTAAGCAATTTTCAATTAAGTGTCCCAATTTAGTGTCCAACCGCTTAGCATGAAGTTCTAATTAAGTGTCCAAATTAAACTTGTCCAAATTAATAGTGTCCCAACTTACAAGTGTCACAAAATTATAAGTCCCAAGTTAACCCTTGAAGTTTCAATTAGGCAATTCAACGAGTCCCAACTTATTCGTTTTCATTCATATTATTTTTCATTTACATTTTGGAAAAATAAAATATAACATTGTTCACGGTATTTAACCATGACTAACAACTAATCACGGTAAATAAAGATTGAAAAATTGTTAAATTAATTCCCGTGATTAGAACCATACAATTTATTACAGGATTTTTTACGGTGATCATTAGTATACATCTAAATACGGGAAAACTTACTGTGAATAAGATACCGTGGCTGAAAAGCAGTTTTCCTGTAGTGCTACCAGCCCTACCCCCTGCATGCCGACATGTCCGACATGTCCGACATGTTGGCTGTCGGGTGACCAGGCACAAACTGCGCCTTGGGGCAGCGGTTTATGTCCTGACATTGTAAACCGCCGCTTGGGGAGGCGGTTTATGTCCTGACATTATAAACAACCGCTTGGGGAGGCGGTTTGTAATGCCGACAGTTAAACGCTCTCTCCTGAAGCGTTTTGTGGTAGGGTTAGCCTATAACCGCGCCTTCCAGAAGAGTTTTGTTCTGGAAATTAAAAACACTACCTAGAGACGCGGTTATAATGTAAAACGCTTACTGGAGGCGCGGTTTTATAGAAACGATGGTATTTTTGAAAATTATTTTGAGCAGGTGGTATTTTTGTAATTTTTTTTTAAACAGTGGTAGTTTTGGATTCTTTCCCCTCTTTAAGGCCTTCTTCAGGGAGGTAGAAATTAATTTCTCCTAGTTGGTGGTGGTTCTGTATCTTGTTAATGCTTTCATTATCCCTCTGCAAACTGATTCTTCCCCTGCTCTGCTTTTCCATCTCTGTCTCAGCTGCACTTGGCTCAAGGTAATCGTCTCTCTTCCATTTATTGCTTGTGGCTACTCCTGGGCAGCATCCCTTAGCTCCTCTATTCCTTCGTACTCTTCTTCCTTCTCTGACATTGGAAGACTGATATCGAATAGTCTGGTGGTTTCCATATCCCATTTTTCTTTACTTCATTTGCAGATCTTCCCCTGCTTTGTCCAATCTCCGTATGAGCTTCTCCTGTTGGTGATGTGTCGCGTCTTCCTCCATCTTTCTCGTCCAACAGATCCTTGTGATCTTTGCTAGGTGGTTGAGGATTGTAAATGGCGCTCTCAGAATGAGATGGAGAAGTCCCAGCGACGGGGACGTAAAAAGAGCCGTTAGCGGTTCAGAGGAAAGTTCCGTTAAAGAGAGAGAGGAGAGATACCTTTTTAATGATCGCTCTTGGAACCTCAGTCAATGGTGGCATTATAATCAATTCCGAGATGCCGTTAGTGGTTTTGCACAGTCGCGGATCAAAAAATATAAATACGGGGGCTGTCGGGCTGAGGTAATTAGAAGAGGTGATAAATTATCGACTATTCTAATTTCTAAATAGGGTTAATAGCATTTTCTACCCCTCTATTATGGTAAATTAACAAACTTATCCTTTTACTAAATTTTTGCACAAACATACCCTTCTAATATGAAAACATAACGTGTTTACCCTTCCATCCAATTATCCGTTAAGTGGCCGTTAAACAAGCTATGAAATATCTCAATTACCCAACCTTTACTCCTAACTCCTAATTTTGATTTTAATTATTTTATGCCACAAATTAATTAATTGAAAAATCAAACCCTAATGGAGTCTTTGAAATTTCCATGCACCCTCACTGAAGCATCTTTGCGGCAGCAAATAGATCCACCGCCACCAGCAAATCATCCATTCTCGTGAACCTCCCTGCAGGGACTGCAACTCTGCCCCTTTTTGGAAACCTCCACAACCTCATCAACTTCTCCTCCTCCAAACTCCTTCATGCCCTCCATCGATTAGCACGAAAGCACAACCCACTCTTCACGCTCAAGCTCGGCCAAATCTCCATCGTCGTTGTCTTCTCTCCCAAAATCACTAAGGAAATACTCAAGGACCACGACATCACCTTGGCGGAGAGAGCCCGAGCCGGGTCAAGTCGTTCGCCTCCATCCGGAGCCAGGCGGTCGCGAATCGGATCCATTCGATTTGCTTACGTTCCATGGCGCAGGGGCAAGGGTCATCGTTCGCACCACTTCAGGTTGATCTTCCAGATGAGTTGCAGCGTGACGTCAAGGGCGGCATTTGGAATTTGGCAGGAAGGACTAGGAGGATTTGATGTCGTTGACGAAGGACATCGTGAAGCTGCCGGGAGCAGGCGCCACCAGGACTAATTGCCAGGGGAGGGAGACGGATGGTTTTTGTCGACTGGATGTGAATTAGTTAAGGGGTTTTATTAATTTAATTAATTGATTTGAAATATAATAATACAATTAAAACCGAAATTGGAGTGCTTAGAAGTAAATGAGGGGCAATTGAGTCATTTCATAACCCTTTTAACGGCTACTTAACGGATTTTTTTTTGGTGAGAAACAGAGCGCAGAGGGGCGCCCTAACCCTTAGATCGTAACCAAACGAGGAACTCGGGTTTTTGAAAACATGGACCCATGCCGGTAAAGCATGACCAACGGAGGCAAGGTAATCAGGAACGATGTTTCCCTCGCGGAAAATGTGGCCGACATGCCCCTCCCACCCCCTAGCCAGTAGATCACGAATAGCGGACACCTGAACGTAGCAGATGGCCTGGAGTTGCTTCCTGTAAAAGTTAGACCGCCATAGTTGAATTGGTCTGCACCAACATTTTCCGGCAGCCCTCTTCCCATGCAAGTTGCAGACCAATAACAATCCCTACTATTTCCACATGAGTAATAGACCCACCAACCAAGTTTGTCGAGAATGCCTTCACGAAGCGACCTTCATCATTTCTTATCACTCCCCCCGCAGCCGTACTCACCTGCCCTCCGGTCACCGAGCCATCTGTGTTGAGGCAGAACCGACCACTCGGCGGCCTCTTCCAGCCATTCAGTTCCATGTTGCGAGCAGGACCTGCACCCAAAACCTTCCTCGCCATTACCCCCCGCCTGCTCGATTTGTCACCACAAAGCCCTGACTTGATTCAAGAGCTTCTATGTAGAGGCCAACTGCTTTTCAAAGACCCAGTTGTTTCTGTTCTTCTAAAGATTACAACACGTAACTGCAAACAGAGGTGAATCAATAATTTTGCTCCGGCCCGACAAGTAGTGCATAACCCAACGATCAATACTTGTTTAAAGAACACGGCATCAGGTTCATCTGAGACTGAGAGAACTTTCGCCCAAACAGCCCGTGCGTAAGAACATTCACGAAGTACATGGCTGATCGTTTCTGATCCACCGCCGCAAACAGTGCAGCCGTTCGCAGTAGCAAGGTGTCGCCGACGTCTCTCGTCATTGGTGAGCAATATGTTATGCAGCACGAGCCAAAAGAATGGCTTCAGCCGCTGAGGCCCTTCGACTTTCCAAGCAGCCTTCCAAGCTGGGTGTTGCCAGCTCTCCTCCTCCCCTTCCGCCGTCAATTCGTAGGCGGACGAGATCGTAAAGCGTCCAGAAGACGAGAGCCGTCATCAAGGTGTGTCCGCCTAGCCTGCATGAGTTACTGGGTGGAGTTGAAGCTGCATGACAACCGCTTCGCGAAGATACAGTCGGGCATAGTCTAGATTCCAGTTCCCGTTCAAAACCATCTCAGCAACCTTAACGTTAGCCGCTTCTGGAGGTAAGTTCTCGGCTAGCTCGCCCAGAGGAGGGCCATCTTGTAGCCAAACATCTTCCCAGAATCTTGTCCCCATCCCATTCTTCACATTCCACATAATCCCTTTCGGTAATAAATGGAGGATTCGTAGAACTCCCCGGCAAAGATTCGACATCCTGCCTGTAGTACGTGGTATCCAGCCCCCTTCTGTGCGGCGTAAGTACTTAGCATTAATTACTCTCGCCCACAGATTATCTGGCTCTGTCAATAATCTCCAAGAAATCTTCATCATGATGGCCTCATTCATTTGGGTGGCGTTTCAGAGTCCCAATCCCCCTTCCGTCTTTGGCCTGCACACCGTATCCCAGTCCACTAGGTGTATCTTCCTCCCCTGCTTCGAACTTCCCCAGACAA